GAAACCATACCACCAAACAAACTGACAATAGATATATACAGGATACTTCATCCAACAACAGAATATGTATTTTTCTCAGCAGCACATAGAACTTTTTCCAAAATAGACCATCTCTTAGACTATAAACCATTCCTAAATAAATGCAAAAAACCTGAAATAATTCCCTGTATACTACTGAATCACAGCCGAATGAAGCCAGAAACCAACAGCAAAAGAAATCACACAAATACATGGAGACTAAACAATACATTACTGAATAATCAATGGATCATAGAAGTCAGGGAAGAAATAGAAATGTTTCTAGAATCAAACGACAATGGAAGCACACATGCCAAAATCTATGGGACACAATGAAAGCAGTTCTATAAGGGAAGTTTACAGCTGTGAATGCACTCATGAAAAGAACTGAGCTATCCCAAATAAATAACCTAGTACCTGCTGGGAGCTACTGGATCTGGAAATTGGTCATATGTGTGAGTGCAGGACAGAGCCAGAGTGGCTTCAAGCAGTCAAGCTACTTCAGTCCTGAGAAAAACATCCTGCCTGGACAATTACAGTCATTAGTCACTAAGCAACATTACCTCTCATGATACTAACTTTGCAAGAGTATAAATAAACACCCCTACTGTTGAAGTTAGGTCCTCTTGCCTATCAGGTAAGGGGTTGCCTCCACCTGACCCAGCTCTTGTCTCTTGTCTTTATTTTCCTCACATCCACTGCCTTTCCTCTCTGGGGTACAATGAGAGACCAATGACATTCCCTACAATAACGCATCTCAACACCCTGGGGCAGTGGTAGCAAACCTATGGCATTTCCGTTAATGTGTTTTTCTTTTAAAACAAAAGATACTAACATACGAGAAGTTGTTTTTTTCTAAACAAAACCTTGGCATTCAGGTTTAATTGTAGTGTTAGCACTTTCTGATAAATAAGTGGCTTCTGGGTTTCAGTTTGGGGCACTCATCTCTAAAGGGTTTGCCACCACTGTCCTGGAATGATAACAGAATTCCAAATTTGAAATTAACAGAAGGAAAAGCATTATAAAGATTAGAGTGCAAACTAATGAAACTGAGATTTAAGAACAATACAAAAGATCAATGAGTAAAAGAGGTGGTTCTTCAAAAGGATGAACAAATGTGATAAACCCTTAGATAAAAATACCAAAAAAAGAAAAAACCTGCATCAATTGAATTAGAAATAAAAAAATGGAAATCATACCAAAACTGCTGAAATCCAGAGGGCTATAAGAAACTACTTTGAAAATTTTATTCCAATATATTAGAGAACTTAGAGAAATGCAGAAACTCCTAGACACACATAAATTACCAAAAGTGAACCAAGAAGCTATGAAAACTCTAAATAGAACAAATTGAGAGTTAAGAGGCAACAAAATAAAGGCAGTCATAAAAATTCTACCAACAAAGAAAAGCCCAGGTCCTAGATTCACCACTGAATTCTACCAGAACTTCAGGGAAGACCTAATACCAATACTCCTCAAATTCTTTAATAAAACTGAAAGGGAAGGTATATTGCCAAATTTATTCCTGGAAGCCAGCATTAGCCTGCTACCAAAACTAGACAAGGGCTTAACAGAAAAAGAAAATTGTACATCAATCCCCTTAATGAACACAGATGCAAAAATATTCAAGATACTGACAAACAAAATGCAAGAAATCATTAAAAAGATCACACATCATAAACTTAAATTGACTTTATACCAGGGATGCAAGGATGGTTCAACATACATAAATCAATAAATGTGATATACCACATAAAAAGTAGCAATGGCCAGACATGGTAGTCCATGCCTATAATCTCAACACTCAGGAGGCTGAGGCAAGAGAATCACTATGAGTTCAAGACCAGCCTGAGCTATACTGTGAGATCCTGTCTCCAAAAGGACAACAACAACAACAACAAAAAGCAGCAAGAACAAATATCACATGATCATCTGAAAAGATGCAGAGAAAGTTTTTGGAAAATCCAACATCCACTCATGATAAAAACTCTGAAAATAATTAGGTATAGAACAACCTTATCCCAAACTGATAGAAGTCATTTATAACAAAACCATTGCCAACATCACACTAAATGGGGAAAAAAACTGAAAACTTTTCCTCTAAAATCAGAAACAATACAAGAGTATTCAGTCTTAGCACTATCCAATATAGGACTCAAAACTTTTAGCTAGAGCACTCAAGCAGGAGAAAGAAATAAAAGGGATATGCATAGGCAAGGAAGAAGCTATCTTTATTTGCAGGTGGCATAATCCTTTACACAGAAGACCCACAAAACACCAAAAGCTTCCTAAAACTGATAAATTCAGCAAAGTGGCAGTGTACAAAATTGACACACAAAAGCCAACAGCATTCCTGTACAGCAATAATAAATCTACCAAGAAAAAAATTAAGAAAACAAGCCCTTTACCATGGTTTCAAAATATTAATACTTAGGAATTAACATAACCAAGAAAATGAAAGACATCTACAATGAAAACTATAGTATCCTGAAAAAAATAGATCAAGACATCAGAAAATGGAATTACATTCCCTTCTCCTGGGCAGGCAGAACCAATGTTGTCAAAATAGACATATTTTCAAAATTGATACAAAGGTTTAATACAATCCCAATCAAAATAGCTACAGCATTCCTCACAGAATTAGGAAAAACAACACAAAATTTCTATGGAACCTGAAGAGACCCAGAATAGTAAAAGCAATCTTGGATAACAAAAGCAAAGTGTCATAATCCTAGATTTCAAGTTATATTACAAAGCTATAATGATAAACAACAACAACAATTAAAAACAGCAAGACACTGGCACACGGGCACAAATACAGAAATGCTGATCAATGGAACAGAATAGAGGATACAGAAACAATCCCAGGCACACTGAGCTATTTGATCTTGGATGAAGTGGCCAAAAACATACACTGAAGGAAAGATAGCCTCCTCTTTAATAAATGGTGATAGGAAAACTGGCTATCCACATGCAGAAGATTGAATCTAGACCCATATCTCTCACTCTCTACTAAAATAAAATCAATTTGCATCAAAGATCTAGATATTAAAACAACAACACTGAATCTGCTAGAAGATATGTAAAACCCTTGAAAACATAGGCATAGGCAAAGATTTTCTCAGTGTAACCCCAACTGCACAAGAAATAATACCAAGAATCAACAAAGAGAATTATATTAAATTTAAAAGCTTCTGCACAATAAAGGAAACAACCAATAGAGTGAAGGGGCGGAATGGGAAAAATTTTTTTCTGGCTACTCGCTGGACAAGGGAGTAATACCTAGAATATATAAAGAATTCAAAAAAATAATACTCCCAAAAAGAAAAAGAAAGGGCCAGGGATTTAGCTCAGTGGCACAAGTGCCTGCCTGGCAAGTGCAAGGTCCTGAGTTTGATTCCTAGTACCAAAAAAAATAAATAAATAAAATAAAATGGGCAACTGAACTAGGTAGACAGTTCTCAAAAGAAGTACAAATGGCCAGTAAGTACATGGAAAAAATGTCCAGTATCTCTTGTGTTAAGAAATGCAAATCGAAATGAGATTCCATCTTATTCCAGAAAGAATGGCTATTGTGATGAACTCAAAAAACAAAAAATGCTGGCAAGGTTTTGGGGAGCAAGGATTCCTTCTCCATTGTTGGTGAGAATGTCAACTAACACACTTACTATGGAAATCAGTATGGAGAGTCTTAAAATAAAAATAGAAATTCCATTCCACCCAGCTATATCTCTTCTGGGGATCTTCCCAAAAGAGTTAATGATATCATATTACAGTAATAAATGCATACCCATGTTTATAGCAGCACAACTCACAGTAGCTAAATCTTGGAAATGGTCTGTATGTCCATCAAGAGATAATATAAAACACTTGGCCTGTGTGGTATATATATACAGTGAGGTACTCCTCATCCATCAAAAGTATAAATTTGAGTCATTTATAAGAAAACAGACACACCCTGGGATTCTATTCCCACCCCTACCCCCCGGAACCGGGAATCAAACTCATGACTTCACGCTTGCCAGGCAGGCGTTGTGCCGCTGAGCTAAATCCCCAGCCCCAGACACACCTTGAGACCATAATGCTAAGTGTAATAAAACAGCTACTGGTTAATATTGCATGGTTTCTCTAACATGAGACACCCAGAGTACAAATAACTTAAAGAGCAAGATAAAAACAAGTAGGAAACAGGAAAGTAGGGCTTTTCTAGATATGAAGGGGATCTATAGATGGAGAAAAGAGGGGAGAGGAAGGGGAAGTAAAAAGGACTAAGATGCCATATGTGTATGTATGAAATGCTCACAATGAATGTATTATGTATCACAAACAAGTGCTGATTTTTAAAACTTACATAAAAAAGAAAGTGAGGCTTAGAGAAGACTAAAAACTGCTAAGGAAAAAGTAAGCACCTGACTGGCAGATTTGAATTTGATAATTATTTACTAAGTATACATGTACAGAACCAAGCTGGGTTCTAAGGACTCAGTTATTCATCAGTATCTCTCTTCTTAAAAAGCTCGTAAGCTAATTGAAAAAAATCCACACAGATCATTTTAATGCAAATCATAGCATTAAAATTTTATACTTTCTTATGACCAAAAAACTTTTACAGTGTCAAAAGTGCCTTTCACATTCTTATTTGATTCTCTGACTGGCACGAAGGCCAAGTATTCACATTACCCAAAAATATATAGTGATTTGTCCAGAGTAACAAGTCTTGGATAAAGCTAGGAATTATAACACTGTCCACAATATTATACAGTAATATGTTATCTGCCAAAAATGAATCAACACCAACTCTGTTATTAAAACTCCTGCAAAAAACTTACAGATTTGTATCTAAATTCTCAACCAGCCTCCTTTCAATTACTATAAAACAAAATCCTGAATGCATTCAGCAATGAAATTCTACATTTCAGATATGGTAGATTATATCTCACATTCAGAAGTGTGAGTAGATACTATATCTTAGTATCTTTTACCTTTATCTTTCTTCTTGGAAGCTTCTTCTGGAGACAACCTGGAGTTTCTGTCTGATGACTCTTCATAGCCTTTTTTGGTTTTGGCCTTTCTTTTGCCAGACTTGATTTCTTTTCTCCTTTACATTAACCAAAACAAAATTAAAGTTAATCTTTTCAAATGATCTTACAAAAAATAAAAACTGGTAAAGAAAAAAACTGAATCAGTTAAAGCATTAATTTTTTAAATGTAACTTACATAATAGGGAACCTTAAATGCGTCTGTAACTATTTTGGGTTAATATATTAAAACAATTTTGGAAGATAATGAAGCCTGAAATATGAGACAAAGAATATTACTATGCCCTTAGTAAATATAAATCAGCTTTACTCAATCTTTTTATGTTCTCTCATTTAGCCATTTTTTTAAATTAAAAAAACAAATCTCATTTCTCTTCACATAATTCATATCCATGTACACAGGGAAAAAACATACAATCAAAAAGTTCTATAGAAACTCTAAACCACTAGTATATAGGAAATTCTTCTCTTAAAAATACAGGAATACAATAAAAGCATAATGGAATGAAGATGAAAGGTGTTTGATAACTCATAAGTAAACTTTGGATCATTTATGATTTATCCCTTACTCCTGCAGTTTCATCGCTTCTTGGCGAGTTTCACAAGCTGGTCAGTATAATGGCTGGCAAGCAATTAAATTTAGGAAATAATGATACTGAAATTGGGACTCGTAAGGAGGACAGAAAGAGGACAGGATTAGTTAAAAAAAAATGAACAGAACTTCCAATTTAAGATACCTATACCTATTCACAGAAGTAACCATTTTTGTCTTTTGCATCAAAATCATTTTAATTTGGAAATAAGCCTCAAATATTAAGGTCAAAGAAATTTCTAGTTTCAGTGTCACTAATAAAAAGGAAAATGAAAGTTTAAGTTATTCAAATAATCTAAAAAATATTCTGCTGATTTTAAGATCTACCTACCTACCTATCTATCTGCACTCTACCACTCAGCCACAGCCGGAGCCCTCACTTGTATCTTCTGAGACAGGGTCTTGCTAAGTTGCCCAAGCTGACCTCAAATTCACAATCTTCCTTCCTCAACCTCCTGAGTAGCTGGGAAGGCAGGCATCACCACCCCAGCTTTAATATTTATTTTAACAGCTAGAACACTAGGATAGGCACACTTAAAATTGATTTAAAATGTTTATGAATACATTTCCTCAAGTCACAGAATCTCACTGTTAAGACTTTCAATTGTTATTCAGGACATGTAATAATGGCAAGTAGTACAGATTTTGTCTAAATGTAATTAACACCAGACAGATTAAGATTTACCATATGCCAGGCACTGTATATACACTTTAATTTCCTTTCCACTACTCCTTCAGTATCCTCATTTTTACAGATGATAAAATTGAGTCTTACAGAGGTTAAGCAGCTGGCCCAAGACAAAGCCTACTAAATGGAGGTGACAGGAATATTCAAGTCTAATTTCAAAACAATGACTTCATATGTGTTGCAAGGTACAGGCCATGGTACTCTTACCTACTCAAAATGGCAAATAGAGTTCATTCATTGAGCCTAATTTTAACATGTGAAATGAGAATCAATCTCTCTAACAATGACAAACTCTGGATAAAACACTGTTTAAATGAGTCACAAGAATCACTTTGAGGCCCACTTTACAACATAGTTTTTAAGAATATTACCATGTCTGAACACTAGTTCAAAACTAAAAGTTCTAACATAAATCTACCATCACACTTAGGCCTTCACATTTAAAACTGTTTTGCTAAGGTACAGGGTATCACAATCCCTGACTTGAAATTATACTACAAAGCTACTGTGATTAAAAATAGCATGGCACTGGAAAAAAAAAAGACCTGAGGATCAAGGAAACAGACTACAAGATGCAGAAACAACTCCAAACACACTCATCCACCTTATCTTTGACAAAGGAGCCAAACACCTTCACTGAAAGAAAGACAGGATCTTTAATAAATGGTATAATAAATAATAAGCTGGCTTTCCACAAGCCAAAAACTAAAACTAGACCCATGTCTATCACTATGCACTAAACTAAAATCAAAATGGATCAAATATCTGAATATTAAAACAGAAACACTAAATCTGCTGGAAGATAGAATAGGTACAACTCTTTCTTTTTCTTTTAAAGACAATAATTTAAGGGGCTGGGGATTTAGCTCAGTGGCAAAAGCGCCTGCCTGGCAAGCGCAAGGTCGTGAGTTTGGTTCCCGGTACCGGAGGAAAACAAAACAAAAAACAAACAAACAAAAAAAGACAATAATTTAAAAACACTTGATGTAGGCAAAGACTTTATGAACAAAACTCCAATTACACAGGAAATATCACAAAGAATCAACAACTGGGATCTCATCTTATCAAAAAACTTTTGCACAGCAAGAGAAACCACTAACAGAGTGGCCAGACAACCCACAATATGGCAAAAATTTTTGCCAGTTGTTTCTCAAAGGACTACTTTCTAGAACATATAAAGAACTCAGAAAAAAAATCAGACCCCTCAAATTTAAACATCCAATCCAAAAATGGGCATCTGAAATGAAGACACTTCTTGTATGAAGAAATACAAAGAGTAAATGAATATACGAAAAATGTTCAACATTACCAGTAATTCGAGATAATTAAAAAAACAGTGTGATTCCATCTTACTCCAGAAAGAATGGCTATTATCAAGAAATTAACCAATAACAAATGGTAGCAGGGCTGTAAGGAAAAAGGAACCCTTCTCCACTGTTGGTGGGAGTATAGATTGGTGCAACCACTGAGGAAATCAGTGTGGAGATTCCCACAAAAGTAGGACTAAACATTCTACTGAATCCACTATTTCCCTGCTTAGTATCTTCATGCAAGAATAAAAAGTATCATACCACAGAGATACATGCATATCCATGTTTGTAGTGGCACAACTTGTAATAGCTAAATCTTGGAAACAGCCCAAATGTCCATTAACCAATGAATGGATAAACAAGATGTGGTTTTATATACAATGGAGTACTATTCTGCCATAAAAAAGGACAAACTTGAGACATTTCTAGGTAAATGGATGTACCTTGAGACCATACTCTTGCTAGGCGTAGTGGTGCACGCCTGTAATCTCAGCACTCAGGAGGCTGAGGCAGGAGGATTGCTGCAAGTTCAAGGCCAGCCTGGGCTACAAAGCGAGCTCAAGACCAACTTTAACTGTATAGTGAGACCTTGTCTCAAAAAGACAAAAAAAAAAAAAACAAAGCAAAGAGACCATACTCTTAAGTGAAATAAAATGGACACATATGTTCAAATATTACATGGTTTTTCTGGTGTGAGAAACTGAAAGTGTAAATAAGGACTAAAATGTGTAATAGATATTATGAAACAGAAAGAAAATGTTCACAAGGGAAGGGGAATTAGGGAGGAAGGAGGTGTAAGGAAGGAAGGGAAAAGAGGAAAAAATGAAAAAATGGAAACCAAGCTTTTGTACATAAGAGAGTAAGGGGTTGAAGGGATGGGAAGGAAAGGGGAACAAAAGAAGAATCAAGGTATATCATGTACAGGTACAAATTCCATGTGATGAATGTTATTACTTATAGCTAATATGTACTGATAAAATTAAATTTTAAAATAAAATTGCTGTTCTAGAATACAGAATGGTAAATTCCAATTTCCCAGGGGCTGGGGATTTAGCTCAGTGGCTCAGCACCTGTCTGGTAAGCATGAGGTCATGAGTTCGATTCCGGGTACCGGAAAAAACAAAACAAAACAGAAGTCCAATTTCCCTGCTTTACGTGGTCATACAATAATGCTTAATTTTCTATATGATCAACCAAGCATCAACTACCAAAGTCTACATTTAGAAACTCAGTGCAGGTAAATGACTATCTCCAAGATTCCTAAACATTAAAAATTATATTTTAAAAGACATTCTTACCTATGGTGGAAATTTAATTTAAAGGAACATTCTTGGCATAACCCTAAAAAGAAAAAAGAGGATACCAGTAAATTGCTGAATTTAAATAACTGTGCTGCAACTATACTCTTAATATCATAAATCTTCATTTTCTTTGTATTTCCTTACCATGAGGGAAAAAAAAATCACAAGTTCAAGCAAAGCCTGAACTACATAGTTATACTGTCTCAAAAAACAAACAAAAAAAGTACACATATAGGACATATATAATAAAAATGGTAACAGAATGTTTGAGGAATTGCAAAAATTTTAATATAACATCACTTTAAAAATGGTGTTGTCAGCTGGGTGTGGTGAAGCAGGAGGATCTCCACAAGTTTGAGGACAGCCAGGGATACATAGAGTTTAAAGCTAGCCTGAACTAGATAGCCAGCTCCTGTCTAAAAAATAGTAACTAAATGATGTTGTCAATTTAATTAAACTGTGTTCTATTTAATGCGAACATTAATGTCAAATTAAAGATATCTAATAATAATTCTACATAATATAGTATTATATAATAGAAAAATAATTCAGGTATCTTCATTCCTTCTAAATTGCCCTAAGAACTCTCAAAAGGACAGATAATTGTTGTCTCTTCTTCTGCTTTAATCTTTCTACACTGTTTCCTAACAAGCATGTCCACGAAGAATTCAGAAACCAGTCTGTATTGACGTCATGTGGGTAGACTGGTGACTTCTATAAGGAATGGGCAGAAAACTCTGAAAGACATATTTACTTAGGACCCAGAGAATGCTGAAGACCATTTACATGAGGGATAAGAGCAGCTGATAAATGGAGACTAACTTCAAAAAATATAATAAAAGGACAGATTCTATAGCATGCACAGTAAAACAAACTGATATATTATGCAGTACATCCCTCAGTTGTTAAGACTGACACTAAGAGTTATAATTTCCTAAGAGGTCTCTTCACTAACTTCCAGAGAGAGTAGATTTATTATCCATACTCCAACATTATGGCTAGAAAATTAGGCAATGCGATATTATACATTGCTTTTTCTGATATTCTGCCTCTTAGCTATGGAACTTAAGTAACATACTCAAGGTAATGGAAAAAGATCTTCACTCCCTAATTACCAGCTTGCATTTAACTTTAGAATTCTGTTACCAGCATGCCACCATAATGCTAAGAATCTGCAATCTTCAGGTTCAAAAATCTTTGAGAGTTTGAAAAACTCTAAGAGCACTACCAGGAAGATATATTAACATTTTTTATATTGAGTTTTAAGTCGTCCACACATTTTCAACTCTAAATCAAAGACAAATTTGGAAGAAATCAATTTTTTTGTTTGTTTGTTTTTTGTTTTTTTGAGACAGGGTCTCACTGTGTAGTCCAGGCTGGCCTTGAACTCACTTTGTAGCCCATGCTGGCCTCAAACTTGCAGCAATCCTTCTGCCTCAGGCTCCTGAGTGCTGGGATTAAAGAATAAATCAATATTATCTCCCCTAAAGTCAACTTACTTAATTTAACAAGTGCATTTCTCTTTTCACCATGCTCAAAATAACCAAAATTAACTTCCCAACTCTTTAAGCCTTCTTTTGCATCACAACATTTATTTCCACAAAAAAACTGACCTGTAAAAAGGAAAGGAATATTAGCTACTGTAGCTGACAGTATTTATCAATATGACCTGTTATTAGCTCTAATTTTACTCTTTAAAAATATGTAAAATCTAAGCTATATAAAGTCAGTAGCATTAAAAAGTAACTGATCACAATTATAGAATGTTCAATAAATATGTATACAAATATCAAAGCAAAGGGCTGAACTATTATCAAAAAAATCTGTCATAATTATCATTTGATACATTATTTACATTTAGATATAGAGTTTTAGTGACTCTCTACTAAGAAACTTTACACTTTAGAAAGTGAGAATATTGAGTCTATGTATTAAAATCCTAGGGGCCAGGGATATAGCTTAGCAGCACAGCACCTAGCCTGGCAAGCTCAGGGACATGAGTTCAATTCCTGGTATCAATCAATAAATCAATAAATCAATAAAAAAATAAAATAAAACCCTGAAATAAGTGTATTTTCCAAAGTACATGCACTTATACTTAGGTGAATCCTTTCAATATTTAATTGTAATACTAAATTAATATATTAAGTATTAACATAAAGGCATTGATTTAAAAGTACTAGTATGAAGGGGCACCAAGAACACAAAAATTCTAACACTTTGAGATAAAGTACAATAAGTAATCAAACTTGATACTCTGAACTTTTAGAATCACTTGTTTCTAATACTAACCTGACATCATTATGTCCACTATATATTAAAACTCCCCCCAAAAAGGACTAAGACTGATGATCCAAGAAGGGAAAAAAAGAACCTACTCAACAATTATTTAGTTTGACAGAAAAAGTCAACATCAAACTTCTACTTGTACAAACAAAAACCCAATAACTTACACTGATGGAGACCACCATGAAGCGGCTCTCAGCAGGATTTAGTATTAACCAATTGGCTTTTCATGTTTACCTGGGAGCTGTCTGAAGCTTAGGCACCTTGTCTAAAGATGGGCAGTGGACTCAGTAAATAAACCTCTATGGGTCACTGGGCACCGCTGAAGCCTGTATTGGCTCGTGAAGCTGTGATGCTTCAAAGGACAAGATAAGGCCACAGCTGAGGACGTTTGGCTCCAAGCCCAATTAACTACAAGGAGACTGCAGCTGCAGGCCCCACACTCCTACAATAAATACCAACCTAAAGATAAGGTAGTTCTCCTGATTTACATAATTTACTACTTGGGAAAATTCTTCCAAGGTCCTGTGAGATTCCTGTGTTTTCTTGCGTATCCTCCTCCTTTGTTTGAAAACCAAAGAAATATGGGCTGCCCAGAGAAGTCTTTGGCTAACTCAGAGAACATTGAAGTTGTAAGAGAGTTAGTCCCTCTGGGAGCCCTGAAATCATTTCCATTGTCTCATTTATTTAAGCCTTCGCCATCCATTAGCTTGGGAGATTGCAGGCCTGATCAGCCTGCAATAGCTTAGGGTTATTTAACCCAGTTTTTGATATTACATCACAATTATTTGCACCAACAGGAGCAAATCTGAAACCAGTTAATTCTTTTTTATAAAAATGTAAAAAATTACCAAAATGTATTTAGAATATTGTCATCCAAGCTGCCTATTTCTAACTCAGTCTCCTTTCACTTATGACAAATGAATACTTTATAAAATCTACTCATCTGGTATTATCTGTAAAACACAAACAAGTTATAATTAACAAAATGCCAGCAGCCCTTCTTCTTCCTCCCCATGAATCCTTTATTCAGTTATATGAGTCTGGAGAATACCCACCGATTTCTGAAAATGTACCACTGTACATTTGCCTGAAAATCTCAACAGTACAAAATTTTTAAATTGTGAGACATTTCAGGATCTCTCACTATTTTCAGTAAACACAAATGAAAATGTAATCCTAAGAAAAGCTAAAAATAGCTTTAAATTTATTCTTTACCCCTCTCTGAAGTGCATTCAGGGCTGACCTTTTATTATTTACACAAAAAAATACTACTGCTTAATTTTGTTTGTTTGCATATCTAATTTCACATCTAACATAAAGAATATCCAATTTATGGAAGATGCCTGCTACCATAAATGTTTCATCATTTAAACATTTGTAAATGTTTAAAATATAATCTTGTAAAAATCTTGTAAAAATGTAATCTTTATTTTCAGTTTAATTTAGATTTTAAAGTTTAAAATTATTCCTGCCACTATACAGTATTCAGAAATATCAGCATTCAAAATGTAATTATTCTATAAAGAATTAATTTTATACCACAGACAGTATAGAGGCATGGTTTTCAGAAGAACTTTAAGAACAGATTACAACAATGCATAGAAAAAGCACTTTCTGACTGCCAACCAAATGTTTGTTCTTGGCTATTGGACTAAACTACTCATGTGGGCTCAGTCTCAGATATTCCCTAAAATGAGAATAGCCTATACAAAAATTTTATTAGGTTCAAAGTGATATTTAATTTCTATTTTTAAAATATGAATTTTGTTTGAATACAGTAATACCAATTTATTGTTCTAAAAAGTACTAAAGAAAGTGAAAGAAGCAAGCTTTCTTTTGTTTCTTGCTATTAAACATCCCAGGTATTAAGAGACTGAACCCAGGGCCTTCACACTGAGCTATACCCTCAGCAATTTTATTTTGAGACAGTTCTAAGTTGCTACATTGCCCAAACTGGACTTGAACTTGTGATGCTCCTGCATCAGTGTCTTGGACTGCTGGAATTACAGGGAAGTCCCACGATTCCTGGCTAAATCTTTAACTCTAAACACTTTCTACATGCCCTCCACTGAATGTTTTAAAGGCAATACTCTAAAGGTAGTAATCATTAAAGCATTATATTCTGACCTTTGCTAATAATGTATCACAAATACATTTTTCTAATTTTATTTTAGGAACAACAACAATCTGTTGTACATGGGAGGAATAATCTTACTCAGTGTCTTTGATTAAATATCATAACAAAATAATGTATCCTATGTAAAAGTAAAATTTTAAAAAATAATTACCTTTTCCTGAAATTACTTCTTTTTCTACTCGCCACCTAAATCCGAACTAAGAAGAAAAAATTTACATTCTTGTCAAACTCTATTTAAACCTTTCGTTTTCTTTTCTTTTTTGAGAAAAAGTCTTGCTATGTACTTCAGGCTGGCCTTGAACTCACTATGTAGCCCAGGTTGAGCTTAAAGTTGTGGTGATCCTCCTGCCTTAGCCTCCTAAGAGATTACAGGATTGGGATTACAGGTGTACACCACCACACCCAACATAAAACATTAAATTTAAATGATATATATATAAATCTAAACAAGGTGTCAACCATAATGACATTTACCACCCAAAATAAAACCCTAATTCTCATCCTAATAGCATCTTTCTCTTATTAGAGGATTACAGATACTTGAAAATACATTTGAATAATTACCAATCTATCTATTATGAACAACCTCCTTCCACTTTCAAAATGCCCTAAAAGTTACAAAGATCAGGTCACAAGCTATCTACATTAAAAACTAATATATGCTGTTTGATGGTACTGACAAGAGAGAGAGATTGTGATACAGCGAAGAGCCAGTATGTTATAATGAAAAGAAGTACAACACGTAGAGTCAGATTATGTAGGTTTGTTTTAGCTCCACCACTTAACAGCTGTCTATTAGGCAAGTTATTTCACCTTATGCCTCGGTTTCTACATTTGTAAAATAGAAATATGAGTACCTACTTCTTTGGGTGAAGAGGTTTAAATGTGATAATAAAGCATTCACAATAGGGACTAGCTCACTGTAGGTATGAGTTTAACAAATAGTGGCACACAAGCCTGTTTCCTATTTTTATAAGTAAAGTTTTATTGTAACAACCACATCCATTCATTTATGCATATATACCTTTACAATAGTAGAGTAGGTGTTTTTAATGGAAAAACTCAAATATTTCATTTTTATTTATGTATTTTTTTCCCTCAGCTAGATTATAGCTTTTTCTGAAGGGCAATCATCATGTCCAGTCCAGCTTTAATAAACACTAAAAAACAAACTATAAATGAGTTAAAGTTAAAAAAGCTGCTTTGTTCCATATCCCTATCAAGATAGTATTTTATACTATCTTTGCAAGGTAGTAACCTCAAGTAACTCCCAACTGTTGTGGTACCTTTTGGATTAGATGTAGTAATTAGTTGGCACAGTGATGAAAGCTATGTACTAGAGTGCACAAGCAATTGAGACTTTAAATGATAGCAAGTGTGTGAGTTTGTAAACAAAGTTATACAATAATGAATATTATTATTGTCTATAAGGAACTGAAAAGCAACACACATACTATATTAAAGGTACTACAGAGAAAATTATACCAACCCTAGTTCTAAAGAGATTAAACTAGTTAAAAGAAAAAGAAATCTTATGACATAAATTTAAGATAGGTTGTCTTAGGGCCAGGGACATAGCTCAGTAGCCTGAGCGCCTGCCTGGCAAGCGCAAGGTTGTGAGTTCAATTCCTGGTACCCCCCAAAAGAAAAGAAAACAACTACAACAAGATAGGTTGTCTTTCTTACTATACTGCAAATATAAGCTACCATAACATATACTATTTATGCAACACTCTCTCCTTTCATCTTTCCAACTGAGACTGTCTATTCCTGGATGATCCTCTTAGCTACAAATCTGAAGTTTGAGCTAGAGATAAAAGTAACTTTAGTATTAACAAAAGACATAAAGTGGCAATGGAAATTTGCCATTACTAATTAGCACTGGCTGAAAAGTTAATTTTATTAGAATAGTCATAATTATGTAACAGATTTGCATCTGCCTCTAAATGTAATCTATTAAAAAATTCTGTCAATTTCAAATATCATCTGTGAAACACGACATCTTTTTGCAATGTTACAACCATCCATTATAATCACTTAGAGGCTCTAGACTTCAGTCAGGATGAACAGGATCCAGTAGCCACTTGTATTTAATTTTAGACTTTTCATATCTCAGTTCACATAAAAAACACCTTTGTCTTTATAAATTCCATAGGTCTTTTGGAAATCCCACGGCTGCACAGGTTAAATGGTCAAAATGATACTTTACAGATGTAGGACAACTTAGGCTACAATTACCATTTTTTAAAAAAAAATGTGGGTCATGATAATATAATAAAAATACTGTACTTGAATAAAAATTTCCTTCTATAAATAATTAGTGGGTATACCTTATTTTCTTTGTATTTACTGAGATCTGCTATGCAATATTCCTTGAATAATTTATCGTAGTATTTCTTTGCAAGTCTCTTCTCCCTAGATCCATAAAAAAAATAAGTATTATTATGCTTAGAAATCCAACCACAGGTTGCTACTTGGAAGCAATGTCAGAAAAATAACTTCTATAATATAAATATCAATGTTTTAAAAGATCTATTCTTACATGTGCACCACATATCTATATATTAACTGTTAAAAATGGTTCTCTCAGGGAGGGAAAGAATCAGAAATGAGAAGAAGAATTATTCTTCATTTTTTACCATTTGTACCTTAGATTTTAAAAATCATTTTCAGGTATTAATTTTTCCCAAATTATTTAAAAAATTTTAAAAGTATATAGTACCGTATTATAATATACAATGTCATAAAATAATTATTTTTTAAAGACTAAGTCAAACCATGAGAAGTCTTTCAACTGCCAAAAATTATAAAATGAACCAAATAAGAACCATGAGAAGTCTCTAAACTGCCAAAAATTATCAGACAAACCAAACAAGAATCCTAAACATGGTTTCACGTCCTTCATTCAGAACCATCCTATGAATGGGCTGAATGCTTTGAGTAAGTGACAAATAAAAAAACACAAAACAAGAGACAGGACTAAAGCATCTGATGCATTAGAGCTCTTGATAGTTAAAATTACCAAGTCATCTCCATTTCATCCTCTTCGTTCCATAGGAATCTATGATTTTCTCGTATAACATCTAAGTCTGTCTTGTCATTTTCCCTGGAAAATAAAATAAGTTCAATATGAAATCAAAATTAGTCAAGGTTAGGAGACTAAACAATGCTGTGAGATTTTTAAAATACATAAAACTAATAGTTCTATGTGTGAATATATATGTATATATATTTATAAAAATATTTCAATATTTTCAGAAGGTAATTATAAAAAGTTCAGCTACAGAGGCAACTTAAATGCATAAAAGAATTCATCCATCCTTAGCAGTGGTTTCAATTATGCAAAGGCTGCTAAGTTACCAAAAGTAGGATGAGAAACCTAACTAAGCACTAAGTAAGTTTCAGAATCTAACTAAAAGACAGTAACACTATTCTGAGATCTAATTTTTTAAAACATGGAAAGTTACCCTGTTTTACTAGTTTCCTAGGAAAACTGAGCAAGGGAAGAAAAGTGTTGGAGAAGATGGTCTGTCAAGATAAAAAGCTAACAGTTTGGGGGCAGAATAAATGATTGTTGAGGGATACAATCTCCCCTATCATATATTAAATTGATAGGGGAGATAAATTTGGAAAGTTCAGACAGTACCAACATTTTATAGAGTTCTATCAACTCAGAAAAGTAAGTAAAGAAATCCATTTAAGACAAAAAGCTCAAATACAAGAGCTTCCAATAAAAAAATGATTTTTATGTGTAGAAAATTCTAGAGTGAGATTTTTTGTTTACCCTCCCTTTTAAAAAGCAATCCTAAACATTAAGGTCTAAAAATATCTTTGTTTTAAACACCTTTGTCAATAAGACATGTGAATATTCCTCACATAGCCTGCTATTGAGAGTGTCATACCCAGCTTAGCAGGTGAGGAGGTTACTTGAGGCCTGCTGCAAAAGAATTGGGATTTATGAAGATATAACTTGCTATACACTACAGATGGCCTCTCTACCTTATGATATGACGAGGAAACTGAAACACAAAGCTTCAAATCAGTGACTGAATCCAAGGCACAGTAGCTATAGATACATACTTCCCTTCCCACTGTATGTACACTTCATGATACTTACCCCAAACGCCTGAAGTCTTCTTTTTTGCCCCCATAGTATAAAATATAGTCATTTACAAACTTTGTATGCCTTTGATACTGAAATGCAAGAAATTAAGGGTTTTACTTGCTTAGGAGTTGTTTGGTGTTATGATCCATTACTGAGTGAGATAAAAGCATAGTATGAGTCTATTTCAGCTTTTCTAAACATGCAAATATGTACTATACATGCTCATACATTCAAAAAATCTAGGTGAGTATATATTAAATTGTTAAGGGTAAAGACTGTAAAGCAGAAGGGCTTCCACTTTCTACTGAACACTTTTTCAAACATATTATGTGAAATGTAATGTTTGGAATATTTTTCAACCATATAGTACTCTTGTGATAAAATACATCACCAGGTAAGAAAGACAGCTTCCCATTCTACTGCTAGACTGTACACAACTTTGTTCCATCGTTCACTCTAGTGATCAAAGTAAGAAAAAGAAATTATGGTCTCTAAAATGAAAAATTAAAATAAATAAATAAATAAAATAAATAAATAAATAAGTAAAATGAAAAATAAGGAAAAAGATTTATTTTTCATTATTTTAAAATATAATTTTGCTATTTCAGAAAAGATAACACCTCTAAATAGCAGATATACTTTTATAATATTAACTCCTAGCATTAGGCTTATGAAAAAAGCAAACGTAAGAAATCAGATGTTATTTTTTATATTTTTAATACTTAAAGAATCCATGCATGTTTATTTTGAATACAGTATAACAATATATATGAGCATTTTACTTTTTTTTTAGAAAGCTCAGTAGCTAAACTCTAGAACTGAACATGCATATAACATAGCTGACCTCACCTTTTATGAGTGTGTCTGTGACTATTTCCTATTATATTAAAGATACATAGGTGGAAGTGGGGGCACATGACTAATCCTAGCACTAAGGAAGGCTAAGGCAAGAGGATCACAAGTTCAAACTATATGTTAGTTACCTTCCCATCAACAGAACATAATACCCCCCCACATCTGCAACTAAAGAAGGAAAGGTTTATTTTGGCTCATGGCTTTAGAGGATTAAGTCCATGGCTGGCTAGCTCCAGGATAGAAACATTATGGCAGAAGGGCACTGAAAAGGAAAGTTGCTTAACCCATGGCAGCTAAGAAGCAGAAAAAAGGGAGGAGCCAGGGCAAGAACCCACACTTCCAGATCTTATCCCTAGTGGTTTGCCTCTTCCAACCCAGTTCCATCTCCCAACACAAGTTTTGTGGGGGGAATTTTAGATCTATACCATAACAAGTCCCATTTGGGTAACTTACCAAGATCCTGTTAAAATTAAATAAAAACATTTTTTAAAGAGGTAAGAATATAGCTCAGCGGTAAATAAAGTGCCCCATGTTGTTAAACACACACACATAGATTTATCACAATATATTCTAACAGAAATACTTAATCAGAATAACACTGAGAGAAAGGAGAGGAGAGAGAGAGAGAGAGAGAGAGAGAGAGAGAAAGAAAGAAAGAGAAAAAGAAAGAAAGAGAGAGAGAGAGAGAGAAAGAGAGAGAGAAAGAGAGAAAGAAAGAGAGAAAGAGAGAAAGAGAGAAAGAGAGAAAGAGAGAAAGAGAGAAAGAGAGAAAGAGAAGAGCTAGAGATCTGGGCTCTAGCTCTTGAACTACCACTAACTGACCATGGTAAATCACTTACCCTATGAGAGCAAGATCACCAAACTTTTTCTGTAAAGGGCCAGATAGAAAACATTGTGGACTTTGTAAGTCATACAGTCCATTGTCACTGTTCAGCTGTATGATTTTAGTAAGAAGGCAACCATAAGACAACATGTAAATGAGTAAGCATGGCTGTGTTCCAATATAATTTTTCATGTCCAAAAACTGGTGGTTGATGGAACAAAGATACACTTCTTTCACAATTAATAACCTTGGACATTATACATAAAACAAATGTAAGAAGATTCAGAGAGTTGGAAAGAAATAAGTATATCAGACAGGGACTTCAGACTAGATGAAACTGGCAACCTGTAAATAGTAATAGGTACAGACTAACACAGCCTCAACAAAAAGCTTGTTCTGTCTAACCAAATGACCAACAGCCAACATAGCAAAACCAGTAACTCTGAGACAAGAACTCTACTCCAGCTGTTATGGTTTGTGTCTGGATGTCCCCTCAAAGCCTCATGCAGTCATGCATTTTAGAGTTTATGATTGATTGATCCATAATCCAATGCTGGGATTATGGGTATGAGTGCTACACCTGCCCTGGGGCAGATAGTTTGCATATATAAAGGAGAGAAAGAAGCTGCTTGCCACCACGTCTCAATTTTGCTCTTGTTGTTTTTGCTGTCTTCCAACGCCATGAACCCTTGCCCTCTGCCATGTGCCACTCTGTCTTGGAACCAGCGGAGTATGGACTGAAACCTCCACAGACCATGAGCTAAATAAACTTTTTCTTAATTTTGGGTATCAGGTATTTTGCCTCAGCAATGAGAGAAAAGTAATCAAGACATCAGCCAAACATGCCAGAAAAAACTGTGCTGGCCCTACGCCGGAAAGAAATGCCTGGACTTCCATCCTCACCAGGCTGTAACTAGATGACCCTGTGCCCCCAGTGGGGTCAGAGAAAGCAGAGTAAATGTTCAAACGCTAAAGGAAAATACCAGATGAGATCCATAGGAAAGCTAAGCTACTAAGTTAACAAAAAAAAAAGAGTAATTATGGATACAGTGATACTTCTATAACTTAAAAGAATTAGATGACAGCAAAGTGAAACAGATGACTATTGGTAGGGGGTTAAACTAATACTATCTCCTCCCAATCCTCACCATAGCGAAAATACTCAGAAATATATCAAGTCTTGCTTGGCTTCTCTTTCATTTTCCAGTATTCCAGCAGCAATACAGATGGCCACTACAGCAGCTAGTGTTATAAGCCACAATTTTATTGAAACATCAAGTTGAGATATGGCTTCAACAAGGAAATAGATTATAAATCGCTTCCAGCCATATCTAAGAATTAAAGCCAAAGCAGGCCTGGCTATAGTCCACAAACAGACACAATTTTAAATACAAGTTTTACAGAGAACTTAAGTAGCCAAGATTCAGGTAGGATGAGAATTAAAATGAGATTAAAGATTAAGAGAAGCATAGGAAAGGAAAATGATGAAAATTTGACAAAAACAAGTTGGAAAAAATATTTCAAGATTCATGGACTTTATAAGCTTATTTATAGAATACTAGTAATATGTCTTATTACTTTTGTCTCTAAATCTTTACTATGTATTAGTAAAACTAATGTATAAGATTTTATGATAAAAATATAAAGTAGGATAAAGCAGATTTTAAAATATCTAGAAATATAAAAAGGATACAGCATCCATAGCTATGAGATGAAACCTTCTATTTCTTGCTTCTTCCCTATTTAAAAACAAAGTTTATTTTAAGCACATTCAAATGTCTATATTTTAATTCATAGAGTCAGATCCCCTAGTCTTTGAGTTTATGAAATATCTTAAACCAAAGAAAGTAATTTACATCAAAATATCATACCTATCCAGCAGTTCTGCTGCAACTTGCTTACTGGCCACCTTTCCCTGCTTTTCTTTTTGAAATGGCTTTTGTAGTAATAAATCATCTTCAATTTTCCTGGTATATTAAAAAGAAAAATTATTAAGAGTTAATTTTTCTTAAAGGTTGCTTCCTAATTCTTTATATTTTCATAATTGAGCATGTTTTAAAGAATTGACCACTCCACTACTGAGCTACATCTCCAGCCAACAGAATTTTTAACTTAAAAAAGACACAAAGATCTTTAATAAGACATTTTACATCTCTTTAATTTTATTTAATACCTATAAAATGAAGAAGATGAAGCCAGTCACGGGTGGTACATACCTCTAATCCTACTACTGGGGAAATTAAAGCAGGAGGATCACAAGTTCAAGTCTGAACTACACCACTTAGTAAGAATCTCAAACTAAAAAATAGAAGGAGCTGGGGATGTAGCTCAGTGCAAAGATCCTGGGTTCAATCACCAGTACCAATAAATAGACATATAAAACAAACATATAAAACGAACCAAAATATAAAACAGAGAAGATAAACAATCAAATGCATGAGTTTTAATGTCATACCTCCCAGGTTCCTAGCTCAAATCCTGACTCGGTCATTTATCACCTTAATTTTCATCTTAATATAATTAAGTTACTTAATTTTTCTGTTTGTGTATTAAGGATAAGGAAACTTTTGGAAAAAGAAGGGCTGATGACAGAAGATGTAGACCACAGATGTTCAGTCTTAGTTATATAAACATAACTCTAGAGCAGAACACCCAACTAAATTTGCTCAGATTCTACTCTTACAAAGTAGTATTTTTGACTGAAAATCTAGAAAATTTAAAGCACTTTGGTTATCTATGAAGGCTGAGTATCATAAAAATGTTCAGTCTCAGTTAGCATCCCTACTATATTGCTCTCATTGTGAAATAATATACCTATTTCTGTAAGTTTGGTTAGTATGACTCATCAACCACTCTTAATGGATAAAATCAAATTTCTACCCTACACAGACAACTTGGCCAAGATGTAGCCTCTTATGATACTCAGACTTATGTGCTGTCAGTTCTTATCCCTTCCATTCAGTAAAACCTTCCATAAGCCTCTTCCTTTCACTTGTGCATCCATGTAAACATAAGAGTTACCTTGCACTACAATCTCATCTTCCACACTAACCTCACCTGGAAAGCAAGTACTAGCAAGAGAGCACCAATCAAGCCCCTCTGAGTATGACATTTTCAAATACACAGTCCAGAAAAATTTGAAATCTGTAATTTTTTTTACTTTTTCCTCCTTCCTGTTCAATAAATCCCTTCCCAGCACAAACCTTATTTTATTTTTCCCACAACTATTCTCCAATTTTAAATCAATTTATTACGGTTTAGTAAATAAAAATTAATTCACTAGGGCAGTTGCTTTCATATACACACAAATAGAATCCAAAACCTCTCAATATTATTTATTTATACCTCATATTAATCTAGAAAGGATGCAAAATACAGATCAATAAAGTTACTTACCGCTTTTTCTTTTTGCTCGACTCTTCACGTTCATCATCACTAAAATCAGAGTCATAGCCTCCATGACCATGCATCTGCAAAGGAGTATAATGCCTAAGTTTAGAATTGAAATTACCAATTGTTCAGGAAACGGAACACTTAAGAAATAAAGAGATCTTAAAAAGCCACAACTGTTTTAAAGGAACATGGTAGACAGGTTACTGTTCAAGGGTTACCCAGCCATCTAAAACTTTCATTTAGGGTTTTTTTTGTTTGTTTGTTTGTTTGTTTTCCAGTACCTGGAATCGAACTCACGACCTCGCACTTGCTAGGCAGGCACTGTGCTGCTGAGCTAAATCCCCAGTCTCATTTACCTTGAAATAAACTTACCCTTCAGAAAATGCATCAACATTTTTCACCCTTAATTATCTTTAGAAGAAAAAGGGAGGTGACTCAGTGGCCTTTCCACCGAAAACCAGACCCGAAGCTGCAAGGAGACTATATTCTCAGCAGTGCTTCACTTTTGACTCAGATTAATAACAGTTACTGTTACTTATGTATCCCACAAAGATGTCTCCATCAATGGCAAATTATATATGTACCTTTGGTCCCATAAGACTATAATGGCACTGAAAAATTCAAATTATTGTATCTTTTTCTATGTTTAGGTACACAAATGCCATTTATTACAACTGTCTAGTGTTAAGTACATGTTGTACAGGTTTATACCCTAGGAGTAATAGACTATCCTATAGAACCTAGGTATGTAGTAGACTATACCATCTAAATCTGGGTAAGTATACTCTACGATGTTCACACAATGATGAAACTAGTGAGGTACTTCTTGGAACATATCTCAACCATTAAGATATGCATGATTATATTTATCACCAATATTGTTCCAGACATTGTACTAAGTACTTTACAAACAATGCCTGTGACTCTCAAGTTTGGAGCCATTAGCTCCATTCTAACGATGAAAAATATCAAGGACATACGAATTAAGTGTATCAATTTCATAAAGGAAATAATCTCATAAAGGAAATAAACTGATCTACCTGATTCTTATGCCCACAGTTCTAACTATTCCAAATTGCTCCTCTGGAATATGATTAGCTATATCCTATAGGAATTACAATATGTGTGATTGATACACAATCAATTAATGAAATTTGTCCTGCTACCTTTTTCAACATATGTCAAGATTTCTACTTTCTTTTAGGTTTATTCAAGGTAAACTGCCTTATCCATTGACTTAGTCAATTTTTCCTCGTTCAATTCAGTTTAGAAGTACGTAGCATTCTTACAAATGCTGAAAGACCTCAGTTGTCAATCTTACTGAAGGAAACTCCTGGCTCCAGGATTACAGTGAATTTGGGACACACACTAACGGCGGACAAAAAACCCTATCCTTGCTTACACCTCTCACAGATGTACTGATCCTACACCCTCACCTTCTTCCTACCTTGATGTCGAAAAACCATAGCGCGGTGCTTGGCTTCCTGTTCTAATCTCAGTCTACCAGAATTCAAAGCGCAGCTCTGCACTTTTCCCTTGTATTTCTTTCAGCCTGTTCCCATCCCCTCTGGACCTACCACACCTACAGGGCTTTCAGAGTGGCTGGTGCGGTAAACCCTGCTAATGTTAACTGCGCGCACCGCCGTCCTCTTGCTCCCTCCAGCACCGCCACTTCCTCTCCTGCCCCACTCCCCCATTTCTTGTTCTCCGGCGGCTTCACACGTCCCATACTGTTAACTCAGTGGCTGTATTACAAAAAGCTTTCACTCACTTCAAGCTACGAAATCAACTGACAAGAGCCAGAAAATCTCGAAAACGGAGACGCCGAGTATTTCCGGAATCCGTCACCGGAAAAAAAAAATTACAATCCCCAAGTAGGAGGAACGAGTTTCGAGGTCTTCCTTCCCGCCGCCGAATACACCCGCGGCCGTCCTTACACACCCCTGCCCTTCTGTGCCTCCCTGCTCTGCCAAGTTCGCCCCGTGAATAGTGGCAGCTGCAGCGACCGCCGACGACCTGAGAGAGCCGCTACAGGCCGTCCGGCTCCGCCAAGACCGCGCAGCTCGTCACCGCCCTTAGGGCGGCCCCTCCTTCCTGGCCCTCTCCCTACGGTTCCGGACCGAGAGCCGCTTCCGGTTCGACTCCGCCGAGTGTCACACCTAGAAGGCACCGTCCCCGGGTGCGTAGATTTTGTGCTACAACCAGAACACCTACAAGAAACAAGAGCGGCAGGAGAAAAGGGCCGGAAGGAGAAGCAGAGACTGAATGCATTTCATGAAGTGCAGTCTACGTTTTTTGCCGGGCTCCTTTCTTTCCCCTCTAAGTAATCTCCCATGTAGTACTGTGTGACACTGCCCGCATGTCAGCCTACGCTCGTCATTTAAAAATATATTTTGTTTTAGAAGAAAAAAGCCTGTCTGCCTATCAACGGCCGTTCTGTCTAGTAACCTTAGTAACGCCTCCTCAGAGCAACTTCAGGCAGCATCTCAGCCTCAGATCAGCTTCTCCTTTTCCCTCTCCTCCCAGTAAAACAGTTCTCAAAATTAGAACAAAAATAACTTTCCATCGTTTCACCACCCACACAATAGACACTGTTCTAAATGCAGTGTCGGTGGCGGAAGAACTCATCGAATTTCTGAAGAAAGAACAGGGAGTAGGAGAGATTTTACAGGGTCGTGGATTCTCTGCCAACAAAGGACCTGGCACATCTGAAAAGAGATCCAAAATAGAATCTTTTAAAAAAAAAATTCAGGCAGGAAAAATTAAATTATTTTAAGCTCCACCAGGTTCTCCTGAATTGTGCCTTTCCTGCATCAAGACGCCCACTGCGCTTTGCACTCTGATTACTGAGTTCAGGTCTCGTCTCCCTCAGGCATCTGCAGTTATTCATCTTTGCTTCCTCGTCAGTACCCAACCCTGTGCCTTGGAAATCACAAACGCTAATTAAATATTTGTTGAATTGAATTGGCACGACTCTGGCGTTTGCACCGGGCCCTTTTTATAGAAAACCTTGGCGCTTAAGGCACATTCAGTGTAGATCTTTTGATCTAAACAGCAGATATGTCTTTATCAGTTCAAGGCTCTTCTATCCTTGGCAGTAAATTATAGCTATATCCTGCTTTACCCAGCGCAATGAATGTTATCTTGAAAAACTGTAATTTATATAACTGCAAATGCAATTATTTCAAATGCAGTTAGATTATACTCTAATAAAAACGTTTGCTTAAAGTTTAAAGCAATGGGAAACTTCAGTTTAATATTATTCTATATTGAAATGTTTTGTCAAGTAATCCTTTTTTGGCAAGTATCTTGAAAATATACTTTGTTCTTTTATTTATTGCTAATAAAATTAAACACATCTGTACTTTGTATCCAAATTTTCTTTCCACCAATATTTGACACTTGGTAGCATTTTTCTTCCATTTCTGGCATTTTCTTCACTGTTGCTTCATTTTACTCCTCCAACAACCCTGGGCTGCTGTTATTAGCCTCATTTTTAAACAGATGAGGAAGAGAGGCACAGAGCTGAAACCACAAACTTAGGGTTTAGAACTGGGTGGTACTTGTCTTGTCACAAGAAAGACCCAGAGCCCCACCCCCAATCTATGGATTGCGTAGAAAGTAGCTTCTGGTTCCAACATTTCTCAGAATTTCATATCTGTCACTACAGTCCATTCAAGGAAAGGTTTCTATTTTTTGCTTTGAGCAGCTACTGAAAGAGAATAAAGTGAAAATACATGTCAGGAATAGATCACATGATCTGAATTTAAAACAATGAATACAGGATATGAAACTATCCACTCAGAAAATCTCAGATTAGCAATTATAGCTCAACAATAGTAAAAGACACAAATATTTATTAAATGCCTGCCCTGCGCAAAGTACTAGCATAATTACTAGGGCTATAGACATTTGAAAGCCACTCCTTAACCTTGAAGGTTGATTAATAAGAAAAACAAACTATGTGAATAGTAACCACAATGTTTTCTTTCATATGCCAGTGCCTAGAAAATGGCAGGAACCTGTGGTTCCCAATCTGTAAATTGTATTATTTCGATGAACAAGAAAATGTAATCATGCATCAATGTTGTGTAACTCCATTGAAGCAACAAAATGGTAGCTATGCGGTGGTGTTGACAGAAATTGAGTAGTAATGATGGTAATAATATCAGGTCATTTTTCTAATGCAAATTATAATCGTTTATTCTTCTAATACTGTATATGTTTGTGATTTCATTTCCCAAATATGATCACACTAATAGTTCCCATTGCACATGCTTTCTGATGACACTACTCCTTCACGGCAAACTGGTTCCTGTGGACCCTGCCGTGGTGAGGCATGTCACTGAGCACAGTACAAGTAATGCCAAGAGAAATCTAAGGTTGAACTGCAAAAGATGATAGAGCTCCTGTCTGGCTCTTCTGTCTTCTTCTGTAGCTCACATGAGATAGAATAGAAATGAGTTGTCTCTGCTAAGCCTATCCAGATTGCAGTTTCATAAGCAAATTAAATGTTTTGGAATAGCTTGCTGTGTACCAGTAGATATACAGAACCTCCTGTTTATCAATCCCCACAACATTTTGTGAGACTTCAGCCTCTTTAAATTTACTATTCTCTCCACCTGGAATCTCCTCCATATTTGTATGTCTAATCCTAACCTGAATTTAGATGAAGGAAGGCTTTCATGACCAAATTGTCATGGTAATCCATAGAGTAGGTAGGATTACCATGATACACACATTGCTTTCTGTACCAATTAACTACACAAATACATATGAATGATTTAGTAGTATCTGTCTTCCTCTGCATTTTTAGTCCTCAGTGCTCAACACAGTATGACACACACAATAGTTCAAAATTTTCAGGTGCTATTATCCCCATTTTACATATAAGGAAACAAATTTAAAGAAATTAATTCCCCCAGAGTCATGAGCAAGTAGATAGGAACACAAGTATAATTGACTCCAAAGTTTATGCTACTGAACACATTATCTATTGCCCTTCAATAAGGCCTACTGCAATTTTTGACACTAGATTAGAATCTATCTTTCATGAAGAAAAATTATCAGATAAGTTGTACAGAGGGATTAGTAAGAGGTGAGAAAGTTTTTGTAGAGGAAATGAGACTTAAGCTATCTTTTAATGCAGACCTTAAATAAGAGGAAAGGAGAGGGAAGAGGGGACCATTAAGGCAGTGGAGTCTCAGAAACAGATTAGAGGTAGAAATAACTATAAACATTTTAGGCAAATATCAGTAGATCATTTTAACTGGACAAGACATTTTGAAAAGGTGGAGGGAAGGTTATGTCAGAGAAGGAATTTGAAAGTGTATCTTGAGTGTTCTTGAATGTTAGATTCAGTGTTTGATCTAGATCCAGTGAAGGGTTGTGAAGAATAGGGTGGTAGTTTGGAATCAAATAAATTTATATTTGGATCCTGGTTCAGCTATTGTACTGGCTATGCGGTCTTAAGAATCACTTAATTTTCATTAACTTTTAGTCTTCTATAAAATGAGAATAATAATAGTAACTACTTCAATGTATTATTGTAAAAATCAATTTAGATGTTGTATTTAAAGAGTTTAGCCTAATACCCGGCACATAGTAAGTTTTAATAAATGTTCACTGTTGTTTAACTAGGAGGCAGTATATGTTATAGTAAATAACATATTATTCTGTCAAAGAAATGCATGAAGGCAAGAATGGCTGGAGGCAGGAGGGGCAGTCGAGAAGTTTATCAGAGCAGATGGCCCCAGATGCTGGCAATGGAAATGAAAAATTTAACTTAAGAGTGAGGTGAAGAAATAGATGGTAGAAGTTGTGACTCATTGGGCATATAGGATGAAGGATACAGAAGTTAAAGATGCTTTGAAAACTGAAAAGACCTGAAAGAAGTTAACTAGCCTGATGAACAAGGAGGAGTTAAGTGGGAAAAAAAATGATATTGTCATGGGGAAATGATAAATTGGCTTTGGATGGGAATTTGAAACTATAACAAAACATACAAAAGAGTAAAATATTTCTTCTATTCAAAATGATAACGTTGTATACTTTCTTGTAGCACTCTCCACCTCTTCACCCTCTATCTGTTCCAACTTTTCTGTGGACTCCCTTTGTCTCCATTCTCCACCCCTCCAACACAACATCATTGCTGTCCTCTGCATCAAAACTTTCGACTTCAAAGTCAACCAAACCTGCACTGGAATCTAGTCTTGTCACTTGCTAACTAGGAGACCTTGGGCAAGTTATTTTTCTGAGTCTTGATTTCCTCATTTATAAAATAGGATAGTAGTAGTACCTATATCATAGGTATTTATGAAGTTTAAAATTAAATCATGCAGACAACTCTTGTGAACATATCAAAGGCTTTAAAACATCAGTAAAAGATGGAGATCTATTAAAAATTAAATGATGCAGCTAAAATGATATCTGATTCATAGCAAGTGTGTAATAAATGTTATATCAGAAAAGAATCAGATTACAGGCATTCTTTTCAGACAATAAGTTTAACAGTTTACTCCTCAAATATGGTCCAGAAACAGATCCATACACATATAGTCCTGTAATCAATGTCTATGGTTAATTGTGTTCTTTTACATAAACAGTTCTGGGTTGGCTGAATAATATGGTTTTTTTAAATTCATGATTGGTATTTAACAGTATTCAAAAGAAAACCAAAAAATATCATCATAATTTCTTTCTTTTTGAAAATTTTTTTGTAGGAATGGGGATTGAAACTGGGACCTCATGCATGCTATATCTTCAGACTTTTTATTTTTCATTTGAGATAGGGTTTCACTAAATTTCCCAGGCTTGCCTCAAAGTTGCAATCCTCCTATCTTAGCCTCCAGAATAGCTGGGATTGCAGGTGTGTGCCACTACATCCAGCTCCATGATAACTTCCTTAGAGCCAGAAAAACTTTCTTAAATAGGACACACCAGGACCTAACCATAAAGGAAAAATAATTAAGAACTTCTGTTCATTCAAAAGACTTCATTAAGAAAATAAAAAGTCGGGGCTGGGGATTTAGCTCACCGGCAAAGTGCCTGCCTGGCAAGCGCAAGGTCATGAGTTCGGTTCCTGGTACCGGAGAAAAACCAAAAAATAAAAAATAAAAAAAAATAAAAATAAAAAGTCATCGGGTGA